GCTCACTGTGAGACAGTGGACCCGGGCATCAAGCTCACAGCAGCCACAGCCTCAGCATTTCTGCTCAGGGCTTCAGAAAACAAAGCACTGGAAACACGCAGGCACTGGCAGCTGTCCTCAGGTTTTCCCCACATGAAGCTGCAGAATTGGTGCCAGGTGCTCCCACACTCAGGCCTGTGCACATGATACTGCTCCTGCAGTGCATGACATTTGTGCAGCACTCCAATGGGGAGAGAAACCAGCATGAGCAAAGGGGTGAATGGAAAAACAGAGTGCTTCGAGTTGATTTAAAGAAGATATATAGTCATTCATGGGGAAAAAAACAGGTGACTAAAATGGAAGGAGGCAACTGGAAACAGCTGATGTTTGATGAAAAAATGGTAATTTCTTGGTACATAAATCTAGAAGTCTTGAGTATTTTGACAGGTCAAATTACGCAAGAATTTTCAGTGCTCTAAATGGCACAAGGTTATCTAGAATCCACTTCACAAAGGTTTACAGAAGAGTTGAGCCTAGATCTAAGCAAAAAGCCTTAGCCAGCTGTAGAAGACCTGACAGAATCAGATTTTTTTGAGTTTATGTCAATGCTGGAACATTGCTCCAGTTGAAAGCATGAGGGAATAGTTTTCAAAAGAACCCCTGAGATTTATTTATTTATGATTTGCAAAAGACAGAAAAGGAAACTAAAAAGCTTGATAGAAAAATTCCAAAGGCAGAAGTGTTGAGTTGTATTGTTACTGTCTTTACACCCTGCCATAACAAGCCACAAGTCTCGCACTGGCATGCTCAGAATACACAGGGGAAAGGTTCTTCCTCAGTCCTGTCCACAGCCCCTCATGATCACAAACCCCCAAAAAACAATTTACTGCTCCTGTTGTATTCAACAATTACAAAAAGCTGATGTCCAAATAACACTAATTGCAATTAAAAATCACTGCCTGCCTGGCAGCTCAGCTACCTCGCAGCTAGGAAGGTTTCAGGGGCAAGGACAAATCACATGGAGCCTAGTGACAAGCCTGTCCTGGGCACCACCAAATGACTTCCCCAATGCAACTTTTTTTTTTTTTTTTTTATATTAAAGTTAGGTGCTGTGTAAACTTCCAGGCATTTCCACTTCCAAGCCTAAAATCTAGAAAGGCCACAGCCATTTGTACTTCTTGGTCATTGGCTGTTCGTTATCTACTATCGGTTGTTCACTCTCTCTCTTTTTTCTTTTTAACCTGGCCAAAACAAGTTAGTGGCTGAATGACAGGTACTACCTTGTCCTCCTGGCAAATTGTTGGCAGACTTAGGGGAGCATATTCAGATGCAGGCACATAGGTAGGAAGCCAGCTAGACAGCATAATCCCACTTTTCCTTAATAAAGGCTGCTGTTTTACTTTCATGAGTGTCCCCATCTTTTTAGGTACTAAAAAAAGTGTGCTAAAACAGGTAAACACAACATCAGCTCTTGGCTACGTACAGTCATGGGGATACAGAGAAGAGAAATGACTGAAAACCATGACATCTAGATAGCACTTAGTTGTTTATATTTTGCAGGTCAGACAGCAAACCAAAAAACACTCACCATTCATCCAGCTCTGCTCCCAACCCCTCTTTTCTGATTTCAGAGGGGAAAAAGCCCTGGTTCCTTCGGTGCTGAAGACACAGAGAAGGTGTCTGCATCCAGCAGCAACAAACACTAATGCAACAGAAGCCAGCGCTGGGCCCCCGGGACCTCCTTCTTCATCCACAAGCTCCTCCTCTCCCAAGGCACCCCCACATCATTCCCTGAGATGCAGGAGGGGAAATGGTTCTGATACACCTGGTGCCCAACAGATTTTGCAGCTAGCCAACCAAAGCAGGGTCCAGGGGTCCAGTCGTTGGTCCTTTCTGCAACTGCTTCTCTCACCAGGGTTGTTTGCTCATCCTGCATTAACCCTGGGGAAAGAGCAACTGTGGGCCTTGGAGCAGAGGTCACGCAGGGTGCAGCACTGCACAGGACCATGTCTCTCATGGTGCTAGGGCAAAGCACAGCAATTATCTCCTTTTGCCATCAGAGACACTTGCGATCCAAACCTCATGCTTTGAGCTGCTCCCGAAGAAATAACCCACACTGAGTTGGCAGATCACACATGCAAGAGGCCAGTTTGAACACATTTTGGGTAGGGAGGAGCTTCAGCCTGCGCCCACGTTCCTCTGACACCCCCTGCCCAGTGACAGGGACCGAGTTGTTCCCCAGGGCCTGAGGAGGCCTCCCCCATGAGGGCACGCCACATCCTTGGGCCTTCCCCACACACAGGTGCTCACCTTGCCAGGCTCACAACACCCAGCGACCTGCTCCATACCCATCGCTCCCCCACGACAAGCTGAGCCCCAGGACCCTCTTATCTGTTTTAGTATTAAAGGTCTTGGGACATCAGCTAAATCTCCAACTTCTCCTAGGATTTGGATCCCTGCCAGATAGAAGAGTCAAACATCTCCATCCAGCAAGCTTTTCCTGAAGAAATACTGTCTTACTAATACTTCCATTACTGCTCACTGGGAAACTCCTATGTCAATACATGTTTTACCAAACACAAAAAGAAAAAATATTTCCAGCCTTTCTTTCAGGCCCCAGCCCGGGCAAGCATCAGGGGAGCCCCTCACGCTCCCCACATGCTGCTGCTAGAGCCCCAGCTCCACTGCCCAGCGGGGAGGCCAGGAGGGGCACAAAGGAGGGGACAGGCAAGGAATGAGGAAGATGACAGCCCTAGGGACAAGAGGCAGGGGTCTCAGCTCGTCATAATGGCATACTTGAGCACAACGATATGCGAATCTCCCTTAAAATCTCACATTTTTTGACTAGGCTCCTGTATGTTAATTCTTATCAATTGACAAGTGGAACAGCGCAATTTGATGATCTTGTTAATCAAGTATTGTTGCAGCAATATGTGACGCACTTGGAATAAGCCAGGTTAAGTCCTTGTGTACACAAGGAAGCTATTATAAGAAAAGAGGATGATGAAATTACATTTTGCAAGAAGTAAGCAGAGATGGAGCGCTATGTATGTTTTGGAAATTCACTTCGTTTATATCATTTTTCATGACTTTCTGCCTAGCGTGACATGATGTTGTCTCCCTAACCAAGACCGGTTTGGCTTGAAAGGCAACGTTTTGCAAGCAGGACCATACAAACAGCAAACCCCCCAAGCCCTCTGAGATGGCAAGGCGCTTGGATCCTGTGCCCTCGAAGGAAGCATCTCCTTTCTATCATGTGTATTGGTCATGGAGGCTTTTAC